GTATAACTGACCCTTCACTAATGATGGTGATGGTCAGTCAAGCTGTCTGAGCTTGGAGCCCAAACTGTCATTAACTGTAATCCCTGAGAAAATATTTGGAAAAAGGAAAAAAGTAATCTCAGAGAGAAGCAGACAGAGGGGTCTACAATATGCATCTGAAGGATAAAAACAGGATGTTAAAGTCACAGTTAAACTTACAGCCTTTAACTACAGCCAAACAGATCCCAGTGCAAAACTTAACCACCATATCACCTAGCCATCGAGAAAGATGACGATGAATATAAAGGGAGAGCTCAATTTTCAACTGGCTATTTGTCATCCCATTATGTGCAGATGAACAGTGCTTTGCTGCCAGCACTGGGACCTCTGCAAGCAGACAAGTGGTAAGCTCCAGGGGAAGCCAAACGTCATTCATCTGCACACACAGTGATGCCATACAGCTGGTTGAATATTAGCAAAGTTTCCCTGTTTCCCTTCACAGGTTTCTTTGGAGCAAGGTAGGTCTTTATTCAGTGTCATAATCATCATAAAGCAAGCAGCATATGAAAAGTTACACATTCAGCAGGCTGTACCTTCCATAGCTAGCTAGCTGGGTAGCTAGCTAATGTTAACCCTTCACTTTTCAGGGTTTAATTTTGGGATGGGGATAAAACTCCTTTCAACTTCACCAGACAACAAGTGTTCATATGACAGGGGAGGGACACAGCGAAGGGTCAGTTGTGACGAATGTAGAGTGACGTAAAAGGAATTCTGATATGACTCTACAGACTGAAGTCACTGTCTAAAACATTAGACCTGCATCTGATTTTGGACCACATATGAAAGTGGCTGTTATAAAACAAATATGTCTGCCTGTTGTTAGGTGCTGGGCAGGTAATGAACAGTAGGTTTATCTGAGCTTTCACTGAAAACAGCCTCTGCTGGAAATGAGGTTGATGAAAGCAGTGAGATAAAATGCATTACCACACACTGATTATGTAAAAGGTTGCAAGCACTGCAGATAGCAAAAATATTTGTAGTTTAATCTTAAATATTGCACTCGTCAGAAGCTCAAGGCAGACTTCCATCTGTCGACACTGCCAGCGTCAGAGAGAGAAGGCTGATGTCACACTGAAACCACAGAGACAACTGAGTCTCACACACACACACACACACACACACACACACACACACTGCACTGTGCTGCTGCTGCATGTGTCTACACAGGGGCCACACATACCATTAAAAAATTATTTTTTATTATACAGTTTAGTATGAAAATATTCACATTTGTCACTTTGAAGATATCTCATTTTAACATTTATCACTATGACAAGATGCTTTGACCATAATGTTATAGGTCTATAACAACTGAAGGTTTGACCATATTATATCTCTGTAAAAATTACATTTTCCACCATTAAGTCATAGTTAATTCATATTTTTGACCGTATGTTATATTTCCACAACAATTAAAACTCTGACAATAATTTAACATTTTTATAACATTTAAAGTAATGTTATTCTTTGATAGAAACTCAAGTTTTGAACATATCATGACTGTGGAGGATTTTGTTGAGGTTCTTTAAGTGATGAAATTTTATATATACTCCCCACACATAGATCTACAACACAAGTTGTGAACGTATAGTAGTTGAATAACAAATGGACTTACAGATTCTTAACAATATAAAATTATGACAATAACAATATAGGGCCATTCCCATGCATGCAAATAGCAATATGTAAACATTAGAGGTTGTTTCCCTTGATACTTAGTCTCTCGTGGCACAGATGTATGCCAATGTTAAAAACCACAGACTGCCTGTTTTAAAGCCTGTCACATGCTGCACATCTATCTGACACCAACATGAAACTTTTAAGTCACCCAGAGCCATTTGCTTTTAAAATGGTATCATTAGTTAAAATGACAAGTACTTTTCAAAAATACTGAAAAATAAATAGTAGCACTTTTTAAAACACATGTAACATATTAAAAACATTGAAGTTGTGGTTAAAGTTGTGAAATAAGCAAAACAGGAAGGACAGTCGGGTCAAATTATGAATGATGAAATTAGTGTTTAAAGCAACACTGCATAACTTTTGGCGAAAGAAATAAACATCCTTTTACTATTAAATACACAGAGGAGTTTTGTTTGCTACAGCCTTACATGGTCTGGCATGACCACTAGCTTATGGGGCTAATGTTAGCTACCCTGTAATGTCAGTAAACTTTAGGTAGCTATTGCTAACAACCTTGACAGAGTAAGATAGCTGACTGGATGACTCTTGTTCTGCTGTCACTCTATGATTTATCATTCACCATTAGCCTTTATTTGTCAGTTACACAATTTTGCTTTAAAGCCAAAAATTTCTAAAGAGTGCTCCAGGGATGGTCATTTTCTGTAGGCTAACACAGACGTTAGCATGGTTCCCTAGTCAAAAAACCTGTGGGATTTTTCCATTGGATTTTGGATTATTGCAGAAGAAAGTCTCTGTGGCAAACAAATGTTTACACATTTTGTTAAGCCAGATAATTCTCACAAATAAACACCACCTGTATGATTTTTGAAGCATGAATGCAATCACCAGAAGTAAAAAGCCACCGGTGGGCTATAAACTACTACTGCGACTACTACTGCGTGATGACGTTTTGTTGTCTCATTTAGCCACTTGTTAGCAACCACCTTTTTTAAGACACAAGCTTCAAAATTCATTAATGGGGTATTTACTGATGAATTTTATGTTGTAAAACAAAACATGAAAGTCTGTTAAGCTTGTGTTAACGCAGACCTTGTTTCAGGCATCTAACCAAAAACACATTCATAAAATCCATTGAGTTTTAACACCTAGTGGGAACCGAAAGTGCAAAAATGCTAACTCATTTCCAGGGTTTGGGTCTCATTCCTGGGGCACTCAATAATCAATGCTACTAGTAAGTCCATGGACATTACATCATAGATACAGTCTGTGTTTATGGAAACGGCCAAGAAAGGTCACATCCAAGTGGGAAAATTTAGCATTTGCTACAATGCTGAAAAGTTGCTGTGTGGCTTTCTGTGCATCAAATAAACCTAAAAATCTTGAATTAAAGGGTATTTTATTTTCTTTCTCTTTTTTTTTGCATATTTTTATGTCTAAGTGATCGATGGGAAGAACATTTTTTTAAATTGGTCCACTATTGAGAGAGAGCAGCATTTGAGCCAAAGCAACGCAACCACTCAGGAAATATTCACACCGTCAATTTACATCCACTAAAAGTGCACACTAAAAGTGTTTGTTTTTGCCACTGACAGGATCAGATTTCTATTATAAGTGTCTGACAAGATTATTGAAAGCATCCCTATAGACAGTATGATCCATTTTGTTTAATCAGAAACAGCCCCAGAATTGCTTTCTTCAAACCCACCAGACTCCATTTAAATAAACAGTAATTGTATAATCTTACAACACACTTCATTTGAAGCCAACAGAAACAAAATAAAAGTTACAGAAAATGTCTTGGTTTGTCTATCCACTGTTTTAACAATCACAAGTTCTGGTTTGGTTTACATAAACCTGTAATTCACCCAGTTACATGTGAAAATATGCTGACTCGATACACGCTAAAATTAGGCTACTGTTTATTTAAATTCAGTCTGGTGGGTTTGGCTTTGGCAATATTGGAGCTGTTTCTTGATAAACAAAAATAATCTAACACTTTATCTAAACAGTGTTAGACTGTTTAGCCACTGGTTTAAAAAAAAAATCATCCTCTGAGGACCTATTGTTCTTGAGGTTGCAAATCCCTGAGTGATAACATTACAGCACATTGTCAAAACATGGTCACATTGAGTAATAGCGCTGCTATACTGTCTGGTAATGTCCATTGAATTCACAAAAGCATGCTAGTCTATTACATCGTGGCATTAATGGCTGTAGGGTATTTATATTATGGTGAGTTTAATTAATCATAGTCAATGTAGTAGTTTCTCATATGTGAGTTTAAGAACCATGATTTTCCAGCATTTACAGGCTGAGGGATAGGACTGTTTTCCCCTCTTGCCCACTCCACATTCAGCACACCCCCTACATGTGACTAAACAACAACTGTATCTATGCTGAACAAAATACTGTAGAAGGTTGACAGATTTCTGTCATATTCATGTACAACTTTAATATATTCAGCCCTTTCCCAGTGCCCCATTAGCCATCTCATCAGACAAGTCAGCCACTGTGTTGTTACTTCATCTCACTGAGTCAAATTATTGTGGAAAATTTTGTAGTCTTTTTCTTGGTTGTATAGCAGATAGAAGTGGATGGATTATGCTGGAAAATTAATTGATTTCTTTCCAATATTAAAGGGTTTAAATATTAAAGGGTTATTAATATAAGATCAAATTCAGCTTCTCACTCTACAATAAGAAGATGAATATGTCCAAAAGTTAAATGTAACATTATAGATTGCTTTTAGGAAGAGAGAAGAATTAGCATTATGGAGCTTAAATGGCTGCACTAATAGTGACACATTGACATCTTCTATTTGCTGAAACTGTCACTACATCCAGTATTATGTAAGACAAATGGTCTGTGAAAAAATGATGTCCCTCCTCCTAAACCTATTACCACTAATGGAATTTGCTAGAATCTACCATGGCTGGAGGAAAACAACCAATCAGAGCTAAGAACTCTCTAACACAGCTGTTAATCATGTCAATTACTGCTCATGAACTGCAGTCAAACTGTCAAAGTAGGCAGCGCTGATCAAATATAAATCAAGATTCTGTTACTGCATTGCCTATTCCTCGCCTCAGATCTTTTCAGAAACATACTTTAGTGTACTGTTTAGCGGTAAAATGAGAAAGTTTGTGACCTGGCAGCTGTGTTGGAAACAGTTGAGTGGAGCACTGCCCTGCAGCCAGAGCAACTTTCCCATTTTACAGCTCAACAACAGTACACTAAAATATGTTTCTGAAAACCACTGAGGTGAGAAATATGCATTGCAGTTACAGAATCTTCATTCATGTCTAATCAGTGCTGCCTTGTTTGACTAACTGTCAAAACTACTTTTTGTACTACTGTGTGGATTTAGTGGATATATACAGTGACAGTTTCCCCCTAACCCTAACCCTTTATAAAAGTTACCTACTGTAGCTTTAGTTAAACGCCATGTTTAAACAAGTAATGTTATGGTTATAGTTACCTGTTTTTGTCCTTGCAGGTAGACTGACATTATTTTCTCTATCCCTGACCATACATTGACTTGAGGCAACCCAAACATTTTTAATGGTTTCTTACAACTGACCTATAAAGCATCAATAAATACATTTTTAACCATTCATAAAGCCATTACTTACAAGCACCTTGGGGAAAGGGTACCTTATTAGAAAGCGGCAGCATAACACAATTGTTTTAAAGGAAACTCCTTTAAGGGTCAATAACTGTGACCTCCTGACGCATAGTAACCTTCTGTCACTTTCAAACTACACCTCCAATTTGCTCCTATCTCTACAAACCAGACAAATGTAAACAGGGGATTTACAGTGGCAAAGCAGATGCCAGATTTATGTTGAGCTCTCACACATTGGCTGTTGTTGTAGTAAAGCGAAGATAAATCACTTGTGAGAGAGACGAAATGGTTTTCAGTCTAATGCCACTGGATGATGATGATGATGATGATGATGATGATGATGATATGATATAATCTGATATGATGATGATGATGTAAACATAGCTTGGTGGGCAGCAGGCTCTCAGGGCCACTGCTAGACTGTGCCTTTACAAGCAGTCTTGCCCTGTTGATCCCACTGCTCTGAGGCCTGTACTAGCGCAATTTGCTCCTCAGACTGTTTCAGCTGGAATTCTTGTCAGTCTCTTCAGTCCTCTCTGTGTCTTGGCTCTGCTCTTCCATGGCTATCACACAGCTGGGCTTTCCATCACTGCCCACATATTTGTCAGAGTGTCTATCATTTTGGACAATTAAGGGTGTGATAGTTTTTTCATTAGTCTGTGTGATTAAAATTTTCTTTTTGCTGGAAGTGTCTGATTTTGAGTTGAATGTGCTGGTGTGCGTGAGTAGCATCACAGTCGGATGACCGTTGTTCTCATCAGTTGCAACCTCATGGGAATCTGTGGCTGGGTTGGCAGGGCTGGCATTGCCACGGCGAAGGCAGCAGCACAGTATCCTGCCAACAGGCTGGAATATGGCTCTGTACAAGCCATGGCGGGCACTTTCACTTACAAAGCAGTACAGAGCAGGGTCAGCAACACAGTTTAGGGTGGTCAGCAACAACGACAGGTGGTAGTAGTTAAATATTCCTGGAAGATAAGAAGGCCACATGGTCAAGATAAAATATTTTCATCCTTAGTCACTATATTACTTTGCAACATTACTTTGTACCTGTGATGAAGTAACAGTCCCGCTCAAACAGGGTGCGTACTAACAGGAAGACGTGGTAAGGAGAGAAGCAGACGAGGAAGATGAGGATGGTGCTGCTGACTAACTGCCTGACTCTCGTCTTCTGATCAGGCTGGGTCCCAGCGCTCCGACCCACAGCACGAAGGACGCACAGGTAGCTGATCTGAACAGACAATTAGAATGAATACTTTGCAGCTGTATTTCTCCACAAACCAGTCAAGCTGCACTAACAGTTTACATCCATGTCTATGAAAACATTGGTGCTTCACACACATCTTCAACCTGGCAGCACAGAAGATCTATACAATCAGCACAGTTTCAAGGTGGGCGCCCAAGATTAGTGTCACCACTTCAGTATATGACCAAATGTCTCCCCCTCTGTTCCTGAGATATGGTGTTGAATAATGAAAAGTGTTTATGCAGGACATTGTGATGTCTTCACTTCATCATATCCTATTAGAGATTTGTGTGTAATTTTGTCACAATTAGCATTTGAATTCTTGAGTTATGGACAAAAACATATTTTGTAAGGACCACCAAATTCTAATCACTTCATCCTTAAGGCAAAGTGAACGTTTGTGCAAAATTTAGAAAAATTCCAGATGTTGTGCAGTAAAGCACAAACGTTTGCCAAATAGCTGTCAACATATTCATTTCCCAAGATTCACTGGCGTCAGTAGCTTTATAGACATCACCATTAGGGGCCTTACTGAGAGAGAGTGGAGAGAGGGATCACAAGTTCATCAAGGCTACTGAGCCTGCTGCTAGCAGCTAATGGTGCTAACTCAATCAACAGCACTAAACAACGGTAACAGTGCTGACTGAGCCAATGGTGTTAACCAGGGAGGGAACTGGAGGGTGGGCCTGATTTCATTGGTGACCACTGTGTGAGCACAGTGTACAGCAGCAGCGATGAGCTAGACAGTGAGATACACACATGCACTTACAAGCGTACATGGCTAGACTAGCTTACCACAACAAACTACAGAAAGCTCAGATTACTTAACACAGAAGTAGTGTGACTTCATTCTCTGCTCAAGATGCCATTACTACGCAATATCTTTACGCAGGTAATGGTGGTTTGTTGCCATAGAAATTAATTGAATGTCAAATACAAAACCTTTAAAGCTTGGTGGAGTTATGCTTGGTATTACATAATGTCACAAAACTTGATGAACTGATAAGAATGAAACCAGGTGAGAGACGGAAATGTCATTCAAGTACAGTTTGTACACATCTACACAGTCCTGACAAGAGGTCCACTCAGGCAACATACAGCACAGTAAGTGAAAACATGTGTGGGTGAACCATCGGTGTGCTGCCACCATCTTCATACATCATTACTAATGTACAGATATCAGGCATAAAATATTGTATTACATAATGTGATTTTAAAAAACATTTTTGTAAAACAGCTATCCTACCGATAGAATAGCCAGTGGGAACATGAAGCCAATAGTGAAGCGGTAATAGTTGATTGGATACTCCCACGGCTGCATGGGGTAGTGCTCAAAGCACACTGATTGGTTCTTGCGGTCTTTGCTCAGTTCTTTATGGCGAAAGAAAACCACACCCACAGCAATCTCCTTCAGCCAGATGATGGCAGTAACAAGCCATGCTGCGTTCATAGAGCGAAGAGAAGTGAACCTGGAGACGAATAAACAGACAGAAAAGAAGAAGAGGTAATAAGCATTAGGGCCAAATTAACCTATTTAACACTGGAGGGGGAGCATTTTCATTGTTAACCATAGGCAACCCAAACCAACTCAACAGCTAAACTGATCATTTTAAAGCATTTTGAAACAGAAATCTTAGTGCTAAACGTTTTGATGACTGAGTGTCTTTTTAGGGAGCCAGCATATGATTGAGGACCACACACGGAAAGTGCCCACACTATGACTTTTACTGACTTACTACACAGTTTTTATGACATTTTTATATTAGCATCCAATGAGCTCGAAAAATATTGACAAAACTGCATAAGCATAAAAGAACTGTGATTAAAAAGTTGAAGAAGATTAACACTGACAGTGACCTACTGCTTGCATTTTTATCATGCCAAATCAAAATTACCTTAAAGGGTGGACCACAGCCAGGTAGCGATCCAGACTAATACAGCACAGGAAACCGATGCTGATGTAGATGTTTTCATAGAGCAGGAAGCCACACAGCTGACACAGCCACTCCCTGTGACTCCAATCATCATCCTGAAACAACAAGGCATGTACATGAAAGAAGACTTTAGGTAAATGTACAAGACAACAGGTGGGTGACACATGGATAAAAGCAATTGTAGAAATATCCAAATTGACAAAATGAGCCTATAGTGTGTGAGTGGTGTAGCTCATCAAAAACACTTTCTGATCAGGTGTTCATTAGGCATTGGAGTCCCATAATCTATACAATCAGCACAGTTTCAAGGTGGACATCCAAGATTAGCTTCACAAATTCAGTGTCTGACTAAATGTCTCCCCTTCTGTTCCTGATTTATGGCATTAAGTAGTGGCCAGAAAGGTGTTTTTGCAGAACATTATAATGTCACAGTGATGTTGACCTTTGACCTTTTGGATATAAAATGTCATCACTTCATTATTCTATCCTGTTAGACCTTTGTGTGGGTTCTTGAAATATTGCCTGCACAAGAATGAGATGAATGAGGTCACAGTGACACTGACCTCTGACCACCAAAATCTCATTAGTTCATCCACTACTTAAGATGGAGGTCTGTACCAAATTTGAAGAAACTCCTCTTAAGCTGTTTTTGAGATAGATGCAAGGTCACAGTGACAATGACCTTTGAAAACATAATGCCTCAGGCCATGGCTGTCACCGGAGCAGATGCATAAAAATGCTAAGCACATAATGTGGTTACTTTATGCTTGTAATAATGATCATATATTTTTGTTGTTATAACAAAATAAATGAGTGTTTTTACTTTACCTGAAAGAAGTACTGTAGCCACAGTGGCAATGATGCCAGGTATAACAGATCAGACACAGTAAGGTTCATTAAATAAACTCCCAGCTCATTCTTCTGCTTCAGCTGCAGAGCAGCGTGGTACAAAGAGTACAGATTGGAGGGAACACCAACCTAGAATCAAGAAGAACATCTATTGTGATCATTTTGATTGTCAATTCCCTCCTCTTAATTACTTGATAACTAAAGCACATGTTTAGAACACCCCCCCCCCTTGCTCAGACAACCAAACCAGGACATTCTTCAAAACCCCAAATGAAGTTCAACAGTTTTGGAGTCCAATGCCTAAAATGTCAGAGTTTGCACTTTCTACAACATCTACAACATCTGCTGTCTTTGCTGTGGTTATTGTCATGTAAATAAGACACAGTTAACGTACAGTATGGTCAAAGTTGGGGAAAGAGCATGGTTATGGCAAATAAACTATGTCAGGTTAGGGTTAAGCAGAAAACACTTGATTAAGGTTAGAGAAAAGATGTGGTGATGGTTTCAAAAAAGACAAATAATAATTCTGTGTCTGTGATACCCCTTTTCCACCAACTCAAAATGGATTCTGTTCTGGTTTGCGCACCTTAATTGGAACAGGTCGGTGTATGTCAACCAAATATAAATTGATCGGAGTCTGAAAAGTTGACTCCCGGCTGAAACCAAAAAATAGCAGGTTTTTCTTGACCTGAAGTGCAAACTGTGATGACATCAGTGAGCATGCCATCTTCTACAGATTGGAAAGAGAGGATGCAGTCTTGCTTGTGGTAGTCTTCCACGTCTTCTTATCATTAATGCTTGTTTTTTGGATAAAAACGAATGTCTGTAATAAATAACAGCTCACAGGTAAACAGTGCAATCTACCATCTTGCTACTACTGGTTACTTGCATTGTGCATTGTGGTTCTATTCAAAACTGCTGGAAATGGAGGCTAATTTGCCTGATAGCACCAAGTTTCCAAGAATACTGAGTGGAACTAGTTCAAGAACCAGAGCTTATTTGGTTGAAAAAGGATATAAGAGGCTCCCTCTTCACCACAAGTCTGGCGCAGCGCCCGCATCACTGCAGATGCTGTGCCAAACTGCTGATCCGTCCCACGCTCCAGTCTACCCCCACTTGTGAACAAGACCCTGAGATACTTGAACTCCTTTGCTTGGGGTAGTAACTCACTCCCAACCTGGAGGGGGCAACCTACTATATTCCTGCAGAGAACCATGCCTTTAGACTTGGAGGTGCTAACTCTCATGCAAAAACTCCCCCCCACCCCACGGCTATGATTAGCTGGATGCATTTAATGATGCTTCCTTGTTGCAAAATGGCTTAGATTTGCTTGCATAACCTCTTTCTCTTTTTGTGTATTCCTTGCAGTGTTGCTGCAGAGATCTGGAACCATCCTTAGCTCACATAAGGAGAGAGGCATTGTACTACCTAGCCCCATCTGTGGCCGCAGCATCCTGTACATTACTCTGTGATTCAGTCACATAGCATTACCAACACAAACCTTTACTGGAAAAGTCAAAGCATAATTTTTTACCCATTATCCAGCAGCAGGTTGTGTCTACACAGGTATATTTTGTGCATCTAGAGATATCTACTATCTGGGCCTAGTGATAAAACATTTGCCCAAGCAAACTCAATGTTTAAATTCAGTATTTCCACATACTGCCCTGGCCTGTACGGGTGACTTACCAAAGACGAGCAGAGCGTGGCAGCTAAAGTATTGAATTTAAACAGTGTTTTCAGGGCAAACCTTTATTCAATCTAGGCAGACATCTGTGGAAACACATAAATACTCGAAATGATGAATGTAACGAGCTGCTGGATATAACACAAAAAAATAACCTGACTTCTATTACAGCGCTGACACAGATAAGACAGCTTATGCTATTAGCATTAGTTGAGGCTGTGTGCCAGTGCTGCAATGCTGTAACTTTAAGGAGGAACTGTTTTTCTATCTCGAGACAAGACAGTTTCCTGTGTCACTGTGTGTGAAAATTCAGATGCCACAACAGTTTTGTGCAGGTAGTCAAGATGTACACACACTTACCAACAGCACAAGTATATACACACAGGAGAAGAGGTACTGGTGGATTTCATGGCTGATGGTGCAGTTTATGGTGTCCTCCTCTGACATGTTTAACACCATCACACTGCTCACAGTCATACTACTTCACCTTTGACAAACACACACCCACAGTTATCTCTTCAAACATTTTCACACTAACATGTAACTGTGATGGAACAACACACACACACAAACACACACACATAAATCTTCATGTTGGTTGGAGCACTCAGCGATGGCTCAAACTTGTCTTCTCTGACTGGGTAGTCCAGTTTCATATGGCCACTGTGAAACACAAAAGAGGGGAAGAGGAAGTTTTTGTAAATGGAAAGCACCAAAATGGTACACAAAGAAGCCCAAATGATCAAAACCTGCCCAAAATAATTGTTGTCAACCTAAAAGTAGCCGATGTGGGTAGAGAAACACACAATTTGGAGCTGTTGTTCAGATCTTTACAAAGACTAAAGTTTCCTATATATGCCATCAGAATGTAGTCAGACAGGAACTACTTCTTTTCTACCATAACCCGGCCCTAATGCCCAGTTCAGACCACAGATTGGTGACAAGAGGAGTTTAAACAGGCTTGCAATGCACTGTTCTGCAGTGTTCCAAACACCTGCTGGTTCACACCAGTGCAGTACTGCTATTCTTATTTTCAGATGTTCAGGCTTATTTTGTGACTGAATATAATTTGTTGGGGGGGGTGCATAACCACATTCAGCAAGCAGCAGCAGCGTCCCACCATCCGACACCAGCACACCGTGCTAGGACTTTCCCCCGGGACACCAGTGTTCAGAACCATGTGAACTCGAGTGAACTTCATCGCCAAAACCTAACCTCTGTAGTTTACATTTATAACATCACATTACGTTAAGGATGTAATGTCAGTCCTGAGGCGCAATTCGTAGGATATCATAGAAACCGCTGTGTGTGCATTTTTGTAGGATATCATATGAAACGCTCTATGAGGACATGCAGGTTCTCTGTAGATGCTTGTGAAGCTCAGATACTTGCCATACAAACATCAGTCTGCTGCAAGTGGCCATGTTTCACCATGCAGATGCACTGGGACGCATTTAGATCAAAAGCTGTAATACCAACTCAGAATTATCGACTTCCAGCTTGCAATTGATTACAGCATAATGATATTCACAATCTTTAGCTTTTTAACATGCTAACATTTGCCTATTAGTAACCACAAACTACTTCCAGTCTCCGCTGATGGAATGTCATTAGTTTTGGTCATGAACATTAAAGTGTTGGACAAAGTTTCACCTGACAATGGCGCTAGATGGACCACCAAAGTTATGACAATTCATCTTGAGGAAAATATGAACGTGTGCACCAAACTTCCTTACAATCCTGTCACTACTTGTTGAGATATGACAATGACAACTATAAAGCAACTTTAGGGGGAAAGTCAAGGGATCACCAAAGTTAATGGGATTCATCATTCAAAAAAAAATCATGTATCTATATTCACTTATCTCACCTTCATTTAAACTATTCTCTGTGTGGTTGACACAGAGGATGAGGACTACATCAACCACATCCTGTTGCTAAGAGTATTTTCCATTTCCTTCAAATTTTACACATCATGATTAGATAAGTGTTAAAACTGCCTGTCGCTACAGAGTTTGCTGAGGCCATTTACATTTATCTAGATGAATGTACCGCTATCATCTTGTTCAATGGCAGTGGTCTACAATTAATGCTGTCCCTGCTTGGGCACACAGATGACACATCCATTTTCAAAAATGTCCAGACTATATTATTATATACGTGGCCCTTAAGCAGACATCCATTGTGATATGGCTTCTGCTTTTCAAGATCACGTCATAACACAATGACTAAAAATCCTTCAACATAAAAGCTTCAATTTATAAAACAAACTCCCACTGCTCGTGTCAACATGACAGCAGTTTTATCAGTACGGCTGAAAAAAACAGAATGTGAGAATTTTCTCATGCAGGCTGCCAGACCGCATCAGAAGAAGTGACACTCAACTGCTCCTATATGGCAACTATGACAAACTGATAATGGCCGAGAGAAAACGATGACTGATGAGCAGTCATTTTGACGATGTGAGAGTGAGATGTAAAGCACGGCATCACTAGAAAAACATACCAACAAAAGTTAACAGGGGGAAAAAAGGTATGATCTATGAGCTGTATTCAGGATTCATCCTATCATCAGCAGCAGCCACTGTAATAACAGCTGTGCATGCTGCATATTTCAGGACTAACACATCTCACACACCACATGTTGATTCAGCTGATGTGTGCCGACTCCTCTCATACTCTGATTGTTGTATCATGTATGTACTGTTCACACTCAGACATAAAAAAAAGGCAGTGAAAATTAATTTATTATTTAATGTGTATGATCTGCTGTTTAACAGGATTTTTAATGTTCTACACAAGATTCACTGCATGTATAAATTTTTAGTTTTTATATTTTGAATTTCCTTCTTGAAAAGGAAGCAAAGACACACAATCCTGTCTACATCATGGAGCTGAGGTGGAGCAAGTGAACAGTTTTAGGTTCCTGGGAATCGGTATCACAGAGAACCTGACATGGTTATCTCACATCTACGGAGGCCCTGAAAGACAAGGTGAAAGAAAAAAAAATTGCGGGCAGTGTTGGCCAAAAGTTTATCTACAACATATGGGATATTAGGAGATAATATCCACCCTGTGACAAAGAGATTTAATATCCCAGTCTGTCAGTGCCGTTGCTGTTTTCAAAAGCACACCTTCATGTGTAAATGTGCACAGCGTCTCTGCTTCCTGCTATGGTCACATTTTAGAAAATGGAATTAATATGTTGCTCAATAATGATGTATTATTTCACCTACCCGCAGCCCATCCACTATTAATCACATTGTTGTTGCTACTGTATGAAAGCTGCAACGATGACTGTGTAAACTCGGCCTGTTGACTTGTGGTGAAAATGCATGCAATAGGTTATCAGTAGTATAACAAAAAAAAAAAGAACCAGTCTCCTTTTTATTGTTCTCTCGCTGGTGGGCGCCACTGCATAGTTCCATTTTGTTTAACAGTGGACATTTGTGGTTAGTAAACTGAGAAGCTAGAACCTTTTGTTTATGCTGCATTTGGCTGAACTTTTACTTGCCCTTTGTAACATGCACTAAGCCCTTCATTCTGCATGGCTTTGTCACTTTCAAAACAGCAGTTTATCTCCTACATTGATTATATTATCTCCTATGTAAGAGATAACATCCTGTGCGTAGGCGATCATATTTCATACAGAGGAGATAATATCTCCACATACCCACACGTGAGATAAACCTTTGGTCAACATTGCCTGTATTTTTTTTTACCTTGCCTCTTACAACTTACATACACATCTCCATCCTGGTATTTCTTGAGGAAACTCAAGAAGGCAAAGGTCGTGTTAACTTTTACAGAGGAGTAATAGAAAGCATCCTGACTGGAAACATTACCAACTGGCATGGGATCTGCACAGCTCAGGACTGGAGGGCTCTGCAGTGGGAGATTAAAACCGCCCACGCATCAGTGATATTGTTTAGGTGCCTCTACACAGCCCAGACATTTTAAAAGACAATAGTCACCCCAGCAACAGCATGTTCACCCTGCTGCTGTCTGGCACATGATACAGAAGTATCCAATGTCATACCACTACAAAACAGCTTCTATCTTTAGACTGTAGACTCCTCAACTCATCTTCTGTACTCTTATCATTAAAAAAATAGATTCCCCCCCCCCCCCTTATAGCATAAAGGAACTACAACTCACATTTTGTTGCATGACCTTGTGTTACAGCATGACAATAAACTAACCTTTTAACATTGTATTTTAGCTCCTTCCTGGAGCAATGTCGCACAGTGAACTCTGAAAGATGAACAATATATTCAGTAAAATGCATCATCTAAGCATGCTATTTACTGAGCAAATAAAGGCCTTAAACTACTGTAAATTTGCACTTACACATATAAAGGGTAGGAGATGTATGGCACTGGAAAATGTATAAGGGTTATTGGGAAAAGCAGGTTGGTAGGCAAAAGTACATTTAAAAAATGTGGCTTTTAGAAACAAAAGTACTCAGAGAACTGTCAACAAAATGAACTTTAAATTTAAGGGGGGAAAAAAAGCAACAACAGCTACAAAGTGTAGCTTTACAGCAAGCTGCCACTTACTATCAAACTACTACAGAGCAGTGACTGACTTTTTTTCTTATCAGCCTCACCTAACTGGAGTCTACCATCTGCTCATACTATTGATACAAAGCTATTAAAACATATAAAAACAATAATATCAGATGACTCTGTAACTACTGACAGTCCTAAAGAGAGGAAAAATCCAGACCAAGGAGGTTAAAATCTGGTCTGAGGAATCCACTGCTTGTCTCCTGGGCTGCTTTGACTGCACCGACTGGGAGATGTTCAAAGACTCCTGCGTGGATATGGATGAACTCACTGATGTAATCTGTTCTTATGTTACCTTTTGAAAGAATATGATTATTCCTACCAGAAAGATTAAGGATTCCTCCAATTACAAACCGTGCATGTCTAAAGCAGTTGAGTCTAGTTTACTGAAGAAGCTGTCCTTCAGATAAGGAGGAGCTTCTGAATCAGAGGTAGCCAAAAGTGGAGATCCTACAGGATAAACAAGAGTATGAAACTAAAGTAGAGAGCAAAGTGGCTGAGAAGAATCTTGTCTCAGCTTGGTCTGGCATAGAAACAATTGCAGGCATAGAGCAGAGCAAGAACAGAACCAGTATTACCATGGGGAGCTTCAGGTCAGTGAGTGAATTTGACTGTGCTGCCGATGATGATTTGACCAGTATGACTTGGATGTAAACCTAAAGACAATTACAAATTACTGAAGTGCTGTGCAAGTCAATTAGGTTCTGTCTTTTGTGATATTTTTATTTACTCTCTCAACCTACTACGTGTACCTAATGTAGGGAAGCGGGCACTGTTCATCCCTGTTCCTAAAGGCGGTAGCCCTAAAGCTTTTAATGACATCAGGCCGGCTGTCCTCACTCCTCTTGTAATGAAGATCTTTGAACAGCTTGTAAAGACAGAGCTTGTGAGGGAAACCAAGCATGCACTTGACCCAGTTTGCCTATAGGGCACACAGAGGAGTTAAGGATGCTACAATCACCCTACTTAGACTCTAATTTAAACACTGAGAGAGAAATAAAACCAGTGCTAGATTGTTATTTACTGATTTTTCGTCAGCTTTTAATATTCTCCAACCACACATTTTAGTCATGAGGCTGGCAGAGCATTTTGAGTC